AGCAGGATGACTGTAATGACCCCCTGCATTAGCCCTGGCTCCCATTTTCATTTCAGAGCAATGATTATTCTGCTGTATGTATCCCAAGATAGAAGGTGATGACAGGCTAAAACCTCACTAACTATATTCAGGAATAAAAGAGAATGAAGCAGGAACCTAATCAAAGTATATAAAATTTTAAATGGCACAAATAAGGTCAGCCTAGTTACTTTTTTTCCATCTCAGCACATTTAATAGAACAAGGGACCATAAATGATGGCTAAGTAAAAAGCAGCCAGTCCAGAGTGCCCAGAAGCATATTTTCACACTGAGATTTACACTTGCTCTTTGTGTCAAACCGCTGAGTCACGTTCATCCCAAGCGAGGGCGGTGAAGATGAACCTGCCGCTGCAGGAGAAGAGAGGGGTGCCCCTGGTCTGCCAGCCCAGCCCAAATCAGCCCCTTTTGGAAGTGTGACATAGCGTTTCAAATTGAAGGCAACCTGTAGGTAACGGTCCTGTTTCTGAAGGACAGTAATTCCTTCAGAAATTACTGAACAAGATATCCCATTAATCTTGTCTCTGGGTGGAAACTGGTAGAAATCAGGTGTGTATAACATGTGTCCGTGATACGGGTGAACACCTGGGAAACAATATTTAAGTAGCTTTAAAAGAGAGCTGGTTTGAAGGAAAATACTGAATGTCTTCTTGCCATCCATCTGTGCTCTTTGAGCAAAAGAGGCAGAGGGAAAAGAGAAGGTTTCTGTGTACAGAAATCTTTCTGAGCCCGAGTGGCACCACATTGGGAGCACAGTGAACATTTTGAAAGCTTTCCTGATGGTCATTCTGGTTTTTAGGGAACAAAATATATTAATAGCACTGGGCATTCGGGATAAAGGTCCTGGTTCCCCCTGTGTCAGTTGTGACATCCACCAGCGTGTGTCAGTTTTTCTTCTTTATGCACCGCTCTGCTTCCCTATGGTTGGAATGTTAGTGGGAAGATGTACCCATAGCAGAAAAAACAGTTACAGGCATAACATACTGTCCTTTCCCTGCAGACAGAGCTAACCAAGGTTAGCACTGAGATACATCTTCATCCTTCTTGAGGGTCCGCCTCCTGGAGGAGGAGGTGCCTTCCTTTGTGTAAAATTGGGCTCCAGAGTTACAGTTCACAGGGCTTTTACGGTGAGAAACACTCAGGTCAACAGCAGCAACTCAGCAGAGTATTTTTTAATGTCTGATTCTTTCAGGTTGGAGTTAGAAATAAATGGATGTCTTTGATGGCTGTGTAACTTTAAATGTCTTGTTCCGCATTGTCATTGATACAACACTGAAATACAGGAGTGTGAACAAGGGAAACAATATTTGGTTGTTGCTGATGAACATGAAAAAAGAGTGTAATTCAATGAAGCTGTAGTGAGCACTGCCTAGTTTGGTAAGAAATAGTTTAATTCCCACTTCATTTTCTTGAGGAAAAGAGGTTCTGCTGTACCTGAAGGACGGGGGAAATGGGTTTTCTGAAGTATTATCAGAGTGTATAGGAAAACTTGGCCAAGTGGGCTGCACAGCAGACTGAAAACTGAGTACAGCTTTCAAACTGAAAGTAAAACCGTACATTCAAGAGAACGAAGCATCACTGCACTGGAAACGCATCCCCTTCTTTTTGAAGAGACACTGGGTTTTGGTCAGTGTGTTTGCTTGTAACATCAAAATTAAGAGCCCTGTTCCAGCAACTGCCTGCAGCAGTGCCGTTGCCTTTTAGGACTGGTTCAGAGAAAGCTCCCTGAAGAAGCAGTGAATGACAGGATGGTAAACACTGAGTCTTATTTACTCTAGCACTTACCCTGTTTTTACTAGCAATGGAGCCGTACTGGTAGGAGCACAACACGGATGCTCTTTTTTTAGTGTAGGCAAGCCTGCTCCTGCATTTTCTGCAAGCAGATTTCACAGAACTGTGAAGTCAACTGTGTTGAACTCACGGGGGCATGCTGGCTATTCCTCCTTCAATGCAGCCTTCTCTTTTTTTTTTTTACAGCAGCAGCAGGGGCAGCAGAGAGGGGCAGCAGATATCTCCTTCACCATCGATGCAAACAAGCAACAAAGGCAGCTGATTGCAGAGCTTGAAAATAAAAACCGGTAAGCGTCCGCAAAGCACCTGGTTTTGTTCGGTCCCTTGCGTTGTGTATGTTTGTTTGTTTGTTAACATTTTTTACCCCCTGCTTGTGTGCAATGTGCTTATGCATTCACATACACCTCCCCCTACGAAAAGCACAGGGCACAAAAAGGTCCGCAGAAAACGACAAAGGCTTTGAAATCTGTAGCCCCCTCGTGTTTTAATGAGTGTGCTCTTCAATGGCCTGATAAAATCGTTGATACTTTACTGTTTGCAGCTGCTGTTTGTTAAAAGTTAAAAAAAAAAAAAAAAAAGCCTGTCCTGTTTCGAAACCAGATTAACTTTGAGTTGGATCCTCTGTAGCACTATAACATGAGATGATAAAAGGATCAGTCACACTGGTGATGTTATGCTCCCCTGCGTTTATTTGGGAAAAAAAAGATGATTAAAGCTCTCCAGAACGCAGTCTGCCTGGGAAGGGTTTGCAGAAGGGTTAGCAGCAAGTTAGGCTGCTGATCAAATGAGACACTAAGGTCGGATATGACTGAGACTGAGAGAGAGTGTCCAGGAGAAACAGGCCAGCCAGCCCCAAAAAGGAGTGATGCCCATTTGTTAGCAGCAGAGGATCTGGCCCTGGGTATAGGACTGCCTGATGCCATGAAATGTATGGCAGGAGAGCTCTGCTTTTACTGCCGGACTGTAAAATAGAGGCCAGCCTAGACCAGATGGTTTCCTGTTCCAAACTCTGCGCTGCCTTCTGTCACCGTGTCATGAGCCACCAGCTCCAGTCTCAATTTGTCTTTCATAGTTGGAGGCTGCCTCCTGACTGTCTGCTCTCCAGCACGTTAGGAAGAAGAGGCAAAACACACAAGGGTTTCACCCTTCTGCTGCTGAGCTTTGTCTTAGCCTTTTGACAGCGCTCCAGGGCCGGCCAGCCCGTTGTAAGAAGTCCTATTAAAGTGCTTGTCCATGAATTGTTGACCGCTCTCACATCTCTACTTACACTAAAAGTATATTTTTAAGTGCTAAATACTTCCTCTGATACTCAGGAAGGCCGACATAGGTTAATTTTTATTAAGTTCATGGGGTGCTTGAAATATTCATGGGAAAGAATTAGAAGGGAGCAGTTTAATTAAGCACAGAGCTATTTCATGTCTACCTCTGATTTTGGGGGGAAATATATGTCCCTTTATGGCAAAATCCAAAAAGTTTATTTAAAAAATACCCAGAGGCGTCTCCCATTGCTGAAGGCTTCTTTTGTTGATTGAGTCCCAGTCATTATATGTACATTGATGAAGACCTACATACAGTCATACTTTTTTCTCCTCTTGCAATGTCCAGTGAGCTGGTTTGGTGGGAAATTACTGACTTGTAGTCTTCTGCTTGTTCCCCTCCCCAAGAGAAATCCTACAGGAGATCCAGAGGCTGCGACTTGAACATGAGCAAGCGTCCCAGCCCACACCAGAGAAGGCACAACAGAATCCCACTCTCCTGGCAGAGCTCCGGCTCCTGAGGTAAGTCCACAGCAGTAAAACCTCCAGCCATGACTGGGGGCTTTTTTAAGGAAATAACAATGTGTATTTTTTGTCCGTTTTCAGTGCAGGCTGTAGTCCTAGAAGTAATTAAGTTTATGCTTTAAACAGCATGCATGAGGAGTCTCACATATTACTCATCTACATTAAATTAAGCATGTGCATTAGTGTTTGCAGAGTTAGGCCCTTAGGTCATTTGGAATAGGTCCCCACAGCCCTGTCCAAATGCCATTAATTATGTGGGGAAAGATGTCGTTCTGTCAGAACAAATGCTTCTACAAAGACTTTTTGTTTATGCGAAAGTAAGTACAGAGCTACATGAAAATACAGCCAGCATTAGACGTTAATTTTTGGACATTTCCCTCATGGGTTGAACTCTAAGGAGAGGTCAGTTCTCTTCACGGTGCAAAACCAGGCTGCAGAATGATCCTCCTTGTCACGTGGGAAGTGAGGAGTAATGTCATCTGCAGCAGCTGAAGATTTGGGGGATCATTTCTCCAATTATTCCACCAAACTGAAAGCATTGATATGGATGTGTCTGCGTGTTAATTAGGATACTCGACATGGATTTACTAATTGCCATGTACATCGCATTGAAGAAGTACAGTTGTCATTGGCCCAGATTCACAGGCTCTCTGCGAGTCCTGAAGTTCATGTTGTGAGAGCCAGACAGACAATCTAATAGGAACTATTCAGAACAGTTCATGTGAATAGAGTGTGGAGTGTAAACACTTCCTTTCTAGTGAAACAATGCAAGGTTAAATTTTATCCACCCCCTGTAGAGCAGTTCTCTCATGAGAAGACTAAAGAACATTTTTGGCCACTTAGCCGCTCCTCACACAAGTGATATTTGAGTGGTCTGACTCATAACCAAAGGAAATTTCTGTAAGAAATTGTGCTAATTTTTTTTTTTCTTTACAAGTACCGTGTACTTTTATTACTGAATTTTCCACACTAAAGTATTTTTCTGTTTCACAAATAACTACCTTTGCTTTCCAATATGAAGACAGATTAGCTTCTTCATTTCCATGAGTGATTTTAGTACGTAATTACTTCTAGATGTCTACAGGCACGTGACATTCTGTGAGACATAAAGAAACCCGATTGTGATGAAAATGTGTACACTGCATAAAACATACCAATAATGTAGCTCCTGTGCATCAAGCCTAAAGTCTATTTTAAGCCATTTTAGGAGATCAGCTTTCTATGTAGTTGACAAATAAAATTCATTATCTGTAACAAAAAAAAAAATCAAACGATTGTGCAGTGTTAGTGGACTGACTACTTAATTTTTCCCTTTTTTCAATTTTGCTACACATATTAAAAGCATAATATCCATATTTGAATTTCCTGGCATGGGATGTCCCTAGGGCAGTGATGCTGAGTTCCTTAATGATGATATCTTTTCTGATTTAATATGCAGTGTCAGAGTCAGAAAATAACTTTTAATCTGTGGGTCTGTACTGCTTTGCATACCTTCTAAAATGTTCACTGTTTGAAAGGCATTGCATGTGCTGTGGAATTTTGACACCACCTCGAATTCGTAGATGCTTTATATGTCACAAGGCTGTTCTTATCGTGTGTAAAACAGCAGGGCTCAGCACAGCAGCACTGATTTATGTCTGTTACCCCACAGATTTTTGGGGCTTGAAGCAATTAGGGCAGTAGGGCAATTAATTCATATAATATTAAGAAATGCTGGAATCTGTAAATTGTGGATACATGTCCCAGCGTCGTTCACCAGCTGCTGTAGTGTTGCAGACTTGCTGAAATGAGGTTCTGAGCACAGCGTTCCTTCACATTACCAGTGCTGTTTTGGAGACAGGTTGGAAAGCCTGTTATTTCCAAGACCTTGCTCTGGAGTAGAGCGGGAGAAAAAAGTCAGAGGAGCGATCTGCACACTGCACACTGCTTAGATCCTCTCCCCCCGTAGAATGAATCTAAAACCCAGCAGAGGTCTGTGCTAGGACCTGCCACTTGGAATTACATGAATAGGGTGTCTTACTTTTATTAGCAGTTTCTTAAACTCAGTTGCCTTTGTACAGTTCAAAACATTTCCAACCATTACCTGCCTGGAAAAGAAAAGCCAGTGCAGGCAATTTGCAGCAGAAAATAGATTAATCTTCCAGAAGGGTAAATACAACCTGGCAGTGTTACTGTATGATCCTATTATATAGGTGAGAGATAGCAGACGTGAGCAATTCTGTAGAAATCAGTGTTATCAGTAACTGCTCACTTACAGAGAAGGCTCAAAATTAAGGTTTCATATTTCCCTAAGTGTAGGAAATGTACTTAGTCATGTTGGCTCTGGTGCTTTTCCATTTAGGATTAAATTGTCGCATTTTGTAGGTAGAATAAGCCTAACGACATAGTGGGCTTATGTCATTTGCAGCACAGCAGTGTATAAAATATACCTAATATGTATATTTTTCAACAGTAATGTTATTAATTACATCATAGCTTCCAGGAAGCAACAGTTTAATCTTGGATTTATGTGAGGACACCTCTTGCACAATTTAGTGATTGAACACGTTCAAGTGCTGAACCCCCCGCCCTGTGCAGTGGAGCTGTGCGGAATCAAAGCTGTTCCCATTTATATCCACACACGGAGTGGCTCAGTGTTCCCGCTGTCAGAGGACCACCGCTGGACTCTGAGTCCAAAGAGCTATTTTCAAGCAGTTATAACTCCGTTATGGGATTCATGCTTTCAGGAAAAAAAAAAAAAAAGAAAAAAAAAAAACAACCAAAGAAACAAAAGCAGATTGCTGTGATTTTTCTGGCTGAATTTCTTAGCTTCTCGCACATCTCGCTCTGGTCAGTGCCCCTGCTGTAGTTTCCTGTCCTTCGGGGCATGGCTTTCATTTCTCCTGACAGCTAGTGAGGTTATGGACTAGAGAGAGCCACAGGCAAAAATTGCCAGGCATTCCCACGAGGGAATATAACACAAATTTGTTTGAACCTCATGTGTTCTTTGGAGAAGGGTCTGTGTCAATGTCTGTCTTTTTCCTAATCACTGTGTTCCGTCCCGAGAATATTCGCGGTATGAGGGAACTCCCTGGCTTTCCTGTAGCCCCGTTTCTAAGCACTATGCTGGATTCATACAGTGTATTTTGCTTTCCTGTGGTCTGTAGGCACGTACCTCCTAGGCAGGCTGGGGAAACCGTGCAGTGAAAAGCTGCTGAGGCTGTGAGGGGTGAGCTCTGATCAGATCTGCTTGCTTCTCAGACAGCGGAAGGATGAGCTGGAACAGAGGATGTCTGCTCTCCAGGAAAGCCGGAGGGAGCTTATGGTTCAGTTAGAAGGCCTCATGAAACTGCTGAAGGTAAGGAGCTCCGCCTCATACTAGCAAGGAGAACAGGCAGGGTGAAGCAAGAGAGGAGAAGGAGGAGATAGGGCCACAGAATTCTGCAGAATTTGACTATTTCCACCTCCACCCATAAAATTTGGCTTTCTTTCCTTCCCTTTCTATTTTTTGCCTTGTCTTTCAATTCAGGGGTTTCAGGTGATGCTCAGATGTTATTGTTCATGTAGTAACACTGCATCATCATTGTCACCTACTGGACAAAGTGGATGGAACATCAGAGATAGGCTCTGAACTATTGAACAATCCTTTAAATAATACTGCAACATGATGCAGTACAGTCCTGTTTCGCTCTTCTGTAGACAGATTTGGCCACACCTGGATTTCAGGCAAGCACTCTCTGGATCAGCCATTTCATAGTGTCCAAACACAAAATGCTTCACGGTCCAGTTTCAGATGTTTTTAGAGTTTTCTCCTTCGAGAACATCAAATCAATAAAAAAAAAAAAAGAGTGAGAAAAGAAACAAACTGACATGTAAAATGAATTAACTAATAACTGTGATAAAAAAACCTCAGCACTGTACACCACTGCCTACTCCAGCTGACAGTACAGAGTTGCTTTTGCTAGTTCCTTTAGCTTTGCCCATTCAGTTGCTAGTTCTGTCAGACGTGCCATTTGACAGCGACATCTAACTCCCTGATCTTAGAGGTGCTTCCCCAACACTGGGTCATTTTCATAAATAGAGAAACAAGCCCTTGTTAAACAGGTGAAATGTGCCTCAACAGAGGATCTCAGTTAAAAATGAAGATAATAAAAGCATGTGCATTTTTAAGCCACACTAGGGTAAGGTGGAAAATGTGTCTTTATGTGCAGAGTCCAGCCCTGTTTTACCTGATGTGCCTCAGGATAGATGATGCCAGAAATTCCCATTGGAAGAAAGTGCTCTGAATAGCAGAGGAGTCTGTTTTGTTGTCGGCCATGCCAGATATAATGAGTGCATGGAAATTCAGTGCAACTTGGGTCAAATATGGCTCTGATAAAAGCAGAAAGAATTTGAAATCCATTCAGCGACCTGTATTGTCATCAAAGGATGAGTTTGACCCCTTGGGTCATTTGCATCTCCTCAGGCACAGGCTTATGCAGCCACAGGGCCGGAACTGGTGGCACCCGAGCAGCAGAGCCCACTGAGTAGCCAGCAGATTTTGGGGAGCTGGAAGTGGACAGAATACTTTTCTACCTACGAAACACTGCGGTGCAACACCTAGCAGTCAGGGCTGCCTGCTGTCACTGCACTGCCTGGCCAAGGAGCAGTTGGGGCAGGCAATGGCAGCAGCTTTCCGCACGCTGTGCGCCGCTGCGGTGCTTCAGAGTGTGCAGAGGTGGGGCCATAACCTGGTCACGTGCCTTCCACTACCTCCACTGTACCTTTAACCCTCCAAATTGGGATTTGTTTTCTGTTCTTCACTTACGTCCTGGCTAATCTCATGTGCTGATCCTCTTTTTCTTTAGGAAGAAGAATTGAAACAGGTAGTAAGTCATCTCCTTATTGGAGGCCGCACTAACTCCTAATGTGATTGTGTTCCTGTGATTTACTTCGTTTGCTTGAAATGTGTGCGTGTTCTTTTGACCAAGATTAATATTTTGCCATTTGTTCACACGTTATTTTCAAGTATCATGGAGCAATTTTCACAATTGAACACCTTAGCCCTCTAGAAAGTTAGTCATGGCTATGAGGAGTCTTGATCTTTTTCTCACTCTTCTAAATAAGAACACGTAAGATATGGAAACCACCACCCAAATACAGCAAAACCAACCCAGAATATGAATTAAAGAACACTTCTACCATAGACAACATTTTGAAAATGTAATGAGAATTTCGGATCTTTTAAGAAAAGTTTAACTGAGTTTAAATTAGACCAGAGCAATGAGTTTGAAATCCCACTTTATCCAGAAAAAGTCAGGGCATTGTGTGCACATCTTTTAAAGTCAGCACTGGTGCTAACAGTCCTGTGACTCTCCAGGAAAATAATGTCATTTCTAAATGGCTTCTGCAACCAAGATCAAAAAGGGCAAGTATTTATATTACTACTGGTAAATTTTAGAAGATTTAATTGGATTGGAACTTTTTAGTATTGAAATGGATCTTGGAAAGATATTAGGCTAAAAAAAAAGACTTTTCAAACAGCACTCTGATTTATGAGTCCAATAAAAATGTTTCTTTTTAACAAAACACTCTTCATCAGCAGAAATACAGTCACAGGTCTGATGTGTTCTGTCTATGGTGGAGCACGCAGGGTTTGTAGGTAATGCTCACCTTCATAAAACTAACGTTTTGGGTAGGTTTTGTATAGCAACAATCTGTTGCACACAAAAAAAAATAAACCTGACCGAACATCAGCTCCGTGTAAGGGCTGTCTTTTTTGTTTCTGCAGTATTAAAAGATCTTCCATTCGCAAAAGAGAAGTTTCCAATGTGACAGGAGTTTCCTTGTCATGTAAAATGTTCACTGGACAGTATAAGTGAAAGCACATTTTCAGGCTGTTATGAGATATGATTTTTTTCTTCCGAGAGTAATAGCCTGACTGAATACCCGGTGATGATGCTAAGGAATTACTCTCACAATTTCCATTAAATGATCCCCATTACGCTCTGCCGTTTCATGATCTGTTGAGAGAAACAGGATTAAATTAATTTCTGGAGGAATTCACGTGGAATGAGCAGCCTGGCAATTCATCTCATGCTTATGAACTTTCTATTTCTCTGCTGCCCTTCCTTAAGAAAGGATAATGAGTTCTTCACAGCCGTGTCGTTGGATGAGGCTGTAAGACGGGCTTTCCCCAGATGTCATCCCAGTTCAGTCCCGGCAGAGGGAGCAATGGGCTAAAGCGCCTGTAAAGCCAGTTTTCATTTCAAGCATTTCACCCTAAGCTTGCATGACTGTTTGGTGGTGGGGAATCTTCCCCTGTCTGTCAAGGGTTAGCTTAAAATCCATAGCAGCTTGACTAGGGGTGGTGAATTAAATAAAATACATGGAAGTTTTCCTAGAGGACATGAGAACATTGATAGCTGCAACCAAGTACAACATGAGAGCTGAAGCCACCCGCTTTACGGATACCTCCCCTTTCAGCCTGCCTTGGTCCTCAGCTGGTGGGGCTGCCGGGTTTGGGAGCAACTCGGCGCTTGATTTCTCTGCTGAGATTACCAGGAGGTCACTACTGATTATCATAGCAGGTTTCAGGCCATTAGCTCTCGCCTGTGAAAACCACATTTCTCCTGATAACCACTAAGCAGGAGTCCAATCTTAATGGCACTCCGTTCCCACAAACTTGGGCTGAGGTGGACCTAAATGAGTAAAATATAATTAAAGTGTTCACCTCTCTGAAATCGGGCATTCCCTAATACCCTTCTGTTTCCACTTGGTGTTCATCAGTTCTGTCTGATACTGCCCAAATAGCGTAAAACAGAGGAGTTTTGTACTGGGCAGGGGACTCCAAATGATTCATCTCCCTGTGCTTCCCAAGCAGTTTGTTCCAACACTGAAAGCTACAGATAAGGGAGCTCCTGTTTATCATAAACACAAGGTCTCAGTCATAGCTGCAAAGCAGACACAAGGGTAAGTGCTGGTGTGCAGCAGCTTTTTCATTTCTCTTGTGGGAAAATTCCAGCGAAGAAGTACTGGCAGGCATCTGTTATTTTTAGTAAATAAAATGCCTATTCTGAAGTTCATTCCTTAAATGTGACTTGTCCATAGGAAGCAGATTTTGTCCGTTTTTTTTCTCGTCTTCTCCGAAAGTTTCCGCTCTTGTTGTTGTTCCCCAGAACCAAGATCAAAGGGGAGCTGAGGAAAAAGGGCAAGCAAAGGAGGGAGCTGGGAACCAGAAATTCTTTTGCAAATTTGTTTCGCGGAGGATGAAACATGCCCCGTCAGGGCATGCAAGGAGATAGCTGTCGGCCCCAGATCCCCTGCCTGATGTGCAGAGGGTGTGACCTCCAAGGACCTTGGAGCATCTCCAGGTTGCTCTGTGCGCTGCTTCTGGAGGACTAGAGATCTGCATATCTGCTGGAGTGGGTACAGACGGTACCAGAAACAGGAGAGCATCTGGCCTTTATATATTCGACTTCCCTTTCATCCATCATTTAAATGTTCTAAAACCAATCATTAAAGGAATTATAAGTATTAAATCCTCCATTCTCCCATCAGTAATGTGCTTATTCCTCATAAACCTAATTTGCCCTTGATGTCTCTCTGGTGGTAATGTCTCTTAGAAAGGGGTGATAGGAGAAAAGAACAAATAGCTTAGTATTCTGATACATTATTTATGGTCCGGGGCAGGAATTCGTAAAAATCTCAAGGGCAATGCTGCACTCCTCCTGCAATGGGCTGCTATTGTCTTTTTGAGAATGTATTTGCCGAACCATATCAGGGCTGCAGATGCTTGACCGTCCCTAGTCAAAATAAATGCTATGGGAAGAGTTAAGAAATCCTCCTGAATTCTCAAAATAAAGCCAGGGTGAGGGAGACACCAGCCCTCCGGTTATTTTTCACTGTAAGCAACCAGGGGCATGTGTTGCAGTTCCCTTTTAACAGCACTCAAGCCACCTCCATCCTTGGCATCTGCCAAACAGAGGTTTTCAGTCGAAAGCCGCGTGCAGTTTGGTGTGGGCTCCAGCATTTGTTTTTCCTTACGTGGATACACGTTCCCAGGGGGTCTGAAACAGCGGATGAAAAGGGCACTTGTGTCTCTTGGTGTCACTCACCCTGCTGCGTTTGTAAAAATGACTGTTTTCTAAAGTCTGCTTGGATTTCAGCGAAGTGATACTAACGGTGAGGTGCTAACAGCATGACATTTTATATGACTGGTGTTCAAACATTTTCACTTCCAGCAGCTGAACCCGTAGCAGGAATTTATATTGCCCTGTCCCCACACTGTTTTGGGAGTGCCTGAGTATGTCCTGTAGAGCGAACAATTTAATAGCGTGTGATTTAATAGTGGCTTAAAATAGTTCTCGAGCTCCGAATAAGAAGCGGAAAGCTATGTTATTTATTGCGAGTGTCAGACTTTATGGGACTGAGAGCTCGCTTGCGCTACGAACTTCTCCTGCAGGGCTGTGATCAGCTCTCACGGCAGCCCTCTGAGGAGAGGGGCTGTTTCAGTCCCTTGCCCAGGCTGAAAGCCACCTCGGTGCCAGCATCTTTCCCCTTCTCGCAGCCTGGATGGGTTATGTTTTATTGAACCGGGGGAGCGAGAGAGAGAAGGCGGCAGAGAGAAGGTCTATACTTTGGTGTTTATTAACTTGGATTCTTTTTAATTTTGCTGCCTGACATTTTCCCATGCTTAAAGGAAGTCAGATCTTGACTCATATTTTCCTACTTACTGTTTTTCTACATGGAAGGGTTGCTGTCAGCTAACAACTGAGCTCAGTATATTTCTTTTAGCAAAATTAACATTACCCAACTGATCTACAAACAGCATGATGCCTTTAAGCTGAGGGCTGGGTGGCAAGGATGGCTCTTGCAAAGAGCTGTTTAACCCCCTGTGATTGTTTTGCAGACCCAAGGGGCGGGCTCCCCGCGTTCCTCACCCAGCCACACTATCAGTCGACCGATTCCAATGCCCATCAGGTCTGCCTCTGCCTGCTCCACCCCGACCCACGCACCTCAGGACTCTCTGACTGGGGTGGGAGGAGATGTGCAGGAAGCCTTCGCACAAAGTAAGTCTCGTCAATAGCTTGTCTGAGGTGCTCGGAGAATCATTTCTTGTGGTCGATGACTAAATGAACTTGAGCTTCTCAGTTGCATGCAGTGGGACAAAACAAAGCCAATCTGTAACCACTGTGTTTTGCCGTTGAACATCACCTTTGTCAGCCATCAGACTTCGCTGTCAAAGCGAGCAGGTAAGCAGAAACTGGACAACGATGCCAAATTAATGGGTTTAGGGCATTTCGATGGGAGATGGTCAGAGCGGTTATCAGTGCTCTGTTAACCAGAAGAAGAGTTGCTGTTGACCTCAGCGAGGCATTGTCAGTGTGTTTGGTTTTAATTAAGGCCTTTGCTAGGAATAGATGATACAGTCAGAGAATTAGTTCAGGTGGAAAGGGCTCTTGTAAGTACCATGTCCTCCTGCTCCAGGAAAGAGGGCTTCAAAGTGTGATGGGACCATTCAGGACCTTAACCAGTCGAGTTCTGGGGGGCTCCTGGTACGCAGTTTCCACACCCTCTCTTCCAGTGTTTGACCATGCTTGCTGTGTAAAACTTTTTGTCCTTGTATCTGACCGGAACATCCCTTGATGCAGTTTGTGACTGTTGTCACTCGTCCTTTTGCTTTGGGCCTGTGAGGAGGGTCCAGCTAGACTAGGCAGGAATCAAGTCTGGAAGTCTAAGTGATAAGTGAATCCTTCCTTTGCATTTCCAGAAAACTGATGTGGGCTGCACTCTGATTCTCTCTCTCTTTTGTCAAGTAACAAGACATTTTAAACTATTTTGAATTTCTAAGGTCACAGATTAAGTGATTATGTTGAACACTAGAGAAAGCAAATAGTCTATGTGATCTAAATGAAGAAATATTCCTTCTTTTCCTAATCTACTCTCTCCTAAAATACTTATGTCACTGCAATTCTTTTATTTGAATAAATTCTTACCCCGTTTCCTTAGTACAAATCAAATGTAAGTGGAGTGCTGGAGTTCCTCTGCTACAGTGGAAGCGTGTTTGTTCCCGGGAGCCCCATTCGGCCCTCTGATGCACCCTTCCCCTTGATTTTCATGGGAATTGTGTCTGTGTGTGTATCTTAAGACAAGGTTGAATCTATAATGCAATCAAGAACTTTCTACTAAGGTGTTAGTGAAGTCACATAGTGAACATAGGCATAATTCCTAGTCCCAGCGTAACAGGTTGCTGGATCTCTCATTTTCTGTGGCAAAAGAAACAGACAAGACGTGTTTTTCTTCTTTCAACTGTGAAAAAGACTAAGACAGGCAAAAATATGGGCCACTAACCCCTATGCTGTTATAGGACAGCTTCTTCCAGAGCTAAGAGTAAGAGAAATAACACAGTGGCCACAATAAAATACCCACAAATAATACTAAGGCTGCCTCAGGCAGATGCTTTTTAAGTATATAAATGTGTTCTGTTCAAGATAAAAAGCAATATAAAAAGGTAAGCAATCACATTTAAAAACTGCTGCATTTGATAAATATCTAGCTTTATGTCATTATTTACCATATTCTCTAGATGGGAAGGTCAAACCCGAAGAACTTGAAGGCAGCCGTTCTGTCACGTCTTGACATACGACTTTGAGGGGGGTGGGCTGAGATTTTATGGCTCCTCTCTGTGCTGCGCCAACAGAGCTCTGCCTAGATGCACATAATGAAGACAAGCCGTGGTTAAAGCATGGTTTCTTTTGGGTTTGGTTTTTTTTTTCTCTTTCATAGTGTTTTCAATAGTTCAGAAATACAAAACTGAGAAGACTTCAGAAAGGGAATGGCTGTCTGAGCGCGTGTGTAGGAGAGAGATTAACTGCTTCAGTTTACGTTCTAGTAACCATTTGCTAATGGATATATTAGAAAAAACAATTCGTTGGGATTTGGGGAATTTTTTTTAATGTATTGTTTTACATTCAGCCAGTTTAAAAGAATCTACAGCAGTCAAATCTTGCCAATTCCTGTGAATAATCCAGTCTAGAAGAGTAGAGATTCTGTGGGATATATTGATTATTCAGCTACAATAGGAGCTATGTTTGGGATTTGGGGGAGCCAAGCATGCGTTACCCGCAGCCTGCTCCTAGCGAAGGAGTATTTCATGCAGCTCACAAGAATCTTTCGTGATTGATGGTTGAGGGAATATTCCCAGGGTCAGCAGGGAAGCACTTCTAGATCCATTATTAGAAAGAGTTTAAAAGCAGCCTGGGGCTGTTTAGAGAGGCAATAGTGCTTCCTTTATTAAAAAAAAAAAGACAGAGAGAGAGACAGTAAATTATGGAATACACAAGAAAGTCCTTGAGCTACAGGAGAGTCTGAGAGGGAGCGGGGAAGAAAAATCTGTGTCAGTCTTGATGAGGTCAAGTGTGTTTCTTCAACATTTGCCATAATTATCTGGCAAATACCTGGCAATAATGGTGTCATTAAACAGAGCTGTGGGAACTTAGAGAAAACACTTCATTTCTTCCCTCCTCCCCCACAGACATTGTAAATGAGTTCACGCTGGATTTAATCTTCCAGGCCTGATCTGCTGGTGTCACCACACAAATGCAAACTCGATGGTCATGAATAATCTCCATATATCCGGCATTGTGATTAAATGAAGCATGAGGGCAGGCTTCTGCTCTTGCATACAGCCTAAGTAAATGGGGCCATTCTGCAGAGAACAATTCTGCACGTGTCCCTCGTAAGGACTTTGATACCCTGAATTACCACAATGGCAGCTTTCGGCGGGGTTGAAACTGCTTTCAACGGGAAAACGTGTGTCTTGTGAAAAATAGCAACCCTGCGTTTTGTCTGTCTCTTGTTTCAGGTGCAAGACGAAACTTAAGAAATGACTTGCTGGTGGCAGCAGATTCAATCACCAACACCATGTCTTCTTTGGTAAAAGAACTAAATTCTGGTGAGCGAGGCTAACGAGGGTGGATAGCCACCACATTGACATTTCACGTATATTTGAAAAAAAGGGGAGGTAGGGAAATATAAACCAACAAAAAAGCAGTGTAATGTATCTTCAAAGTTTTTTATGCTTTTAGGAAAAAGATCCCTAAATAACAGCTTCAGGAATACAGCAGTTCTGAAAGCCATGGACATAGAGGTGCAGCTGGATACAATGAAAGCTTTGAGAAGTTTGTTTGTGATTCCACGTGGGATTTCAGTCTTTAGAATTTTCATTTGGTATAGAACATAGGACCTGTTGTAAAATGTAGTCTGTAGTATTCTCATAAAAATAGCCTACCTAATAACTGAGATAAGCAAAAGCTTCACTATTCTGTCCCATGACAAGAAGAAAACTGTATGTGTAGAATAATATACTGTTATTTGCTAGGCGGAGATGGCATTCTAAGTTGGAAAGGCAGAGAAAAACTTCAAGAAATAGGCAAGTATACTTTTGTGAAAGTTAAATGGAACCGTGTGTCACCTTTTGCTTCGCAGAAGTGGGCAGCGAGACAGAAAGCAACGTGGATTCTGAATTTGGACGGACTCATTTTGATGACCTCGTTCCATCCCCAACGTCTGAGAAGGCTTTCCTCGCGCAGATCCATGCCCGGAAGCCAGGATACATCCACAGTGCTGCTGCCACCGGCTCCATCCGCAGTGACATGTGGGTACCTGCTCCATTCGCCTTCTTAATCTCATTCTTTTTCTGTCAAAAACACTATGCAACATGTAATATTTTCTCTCCCTCTCAACTATTTGATTACCAAAAAAAACCCCACAGAATCACAGAATGGTTTGGGCTGGAAGGGACCTTAAGGGTCATCCAGTTCCAGCCCCCTGCCATGGGCAGGGACACCTTCCACCAGACCAGGTTGCTCAAAGCCCCACCCACATTCCGCATTTAGAGGGATGGAGCATCCATAACTTCATGGGGCAACCTGTTCCAGTGTCTCACCACCCTCACAGTGAAGAATTTCTTCCTAAAATCTAGTCTAAATCTACCCTCTATCAGCATGTCTCAATCCAAGTGAGGACAGCTTCATGGTTAGATAGTAGTGAGCTCTGTAAACAATAAAGGCCAGAACTTAGGATGCCCTCAGGACTGAGCTGTCTCACGTCCACACTTGGACAGCATGGAGACTGTGGGAATATGCCCTGCAGTCCTATTCCCTACTTATCCAGACCGAGGGGCCTGTTGGAGCCCACTGGAAAAAGGGCAGTTTTTAACTGGAAAAGACAGAATGCTTTTTATTGACCAACTCAATTGATCGCAAACAGATTTATTTTTAGAACTGACTCTTCCTAATAGAGACAATAGACATCTTTCCAGTCATTTTTAGTTCAACCTCTTCGTATCAAGTTATTGACAACTTTTGTTACTCATTTCCGTAGGGCTGTACCCCCAAAATGCCTTCAGCAGAATGTGCCCTCTGGTCTACTTCATCAATACCAGACCACTGCAGAGGGGGAGTAGCAGAAGTGTTTTCCACTGCCAGGAAAATACTAACCAATGGAGCATGTGGTTGGACTAAAAGTATCCCGCTGTCCTTGTAGCTTACCATAAAGGGAATTTTTATTGACTCTGAATGTCGTTCATCTCAGGAGGCTATTTATTAATAATTGTCTTTAGGGTTACAGAAGATGGAGACCCCTATGTCAGAGCAGATGACGAAAATTACGAGAATGACTCTGTCCGCCAGCTGGAGAACGAGCTGAAAATGGAGGAGTACCTGAAGCAGAAGCTGCAGGATGAGGCATACCAGGTGGGACAAGGGCACCAGGTGCCCGTATATATGTCCACAAGTGAGAAACAATAATGCCATAGCTGCCCAGTGCCCTTCTTAACCTGTCCTGGGCCCTGGGGCGTGATCTCTTCTCAGTTACTAGAGCAGCCACGTTCCAAAACCTGCTGTTGATCTCTTCCACAGACACTCACACACCTAGCCTTTGTGCACATCCAGGAAGACCACACTGCTTGAGGCCCACAACGGTAGTCCTTAACCTTACCAGGGCATCAGGTGGGACAGAATTGCCTCTGAGCTTGTTCTCTTAGACCTCCTTCCCCTGTACCATAGAGGCTGGTTGGTGGTGTCACACTGAGTTCTTGCTGTATTTAGATTATTTTTTTTTTCTCCAGTAGCAAAAACCATTCCTAATGGTTTCTCCAGTGTGAACTGAAGCTCAAATGCAGTCTGCGTGTTATTGTCATTGTCAGAATCTGGAAGGGGAGGAAAGGGTCTGAAATGAGTTGTATCCCAGAGGACCCAGCATTCAACAAGTATCTAGTATAGAGAATCTGGGGATTTGTCATTAAACACCCCTGAGGAAGTTTTCAAAGGGCATTTGTTTAAGCGTCTGAGTAAAGCAAATTTGCCAGGGGGAGCTGGAATTCTATAGATATCCTGTCCTGGATGCATAATGGTCTCCTCTTCTACCTGGTGTAATGAAATACCACCAGTTTTTAACGTATTCTGACTTGCATCATCCTAGTATAAAATCCATCACTTCTTATGATGTAGGTAGTAATGTCAGTAGGAGGGCACACCCGGTTTGGTTATTTGGGACCAGAGCTGAAGCAAGCAAAAGTAACTATTTTCTTACATGGTGATCAATTAAACTTTGGAACTCACCACTGTGGAATATAAGAGACCAAAAATATAAATGGGGAAAAAAAAAAGGATTAAGCAGGTATTGAGAGATCAAGTGTATGGAAATGAAGTTCAAAAGCACCTTCTGGGCAGGAATTCTTTAAACTGCTGATTGCTGGGCGCTATCAAAATCTGGCCTTTTTTTCTGGTAGTTTTTCTCTACTATCCACTGCCAGTCACTTCGAAGACAAGAAGCTGGGATGACAGGCTCATGATCTGATGAAGAATGGCTGCAATTCTGCTTGTCTTTTCTGTAAAGCTGCTAGGATAAGTTAGTCTTGTAAAAGTTCATTGACTCATCAAAGTTGCAGGTAGTTTGGAGATTGATGTGAGCATCATCTGTTGTTTACCAGGGTCAGCTACATGCCCATGGTAGCCTGCCAAAAGTCATTTCATTGCGAAGGTCTTTAAGGACATGACGGCAGGAGCAGAGTTGTTATAGACTGTCTGCTAAGGCAACGTGGGGGTTTTTGTCACAATTTTTTTATCCAAGGTAGGAAATGGCGAAAATGACAGCCTTTCAACTTCTGAACAGGATGAGCAGCTACTGCTGATGTAATGGAAAGTAATTGTCAGTTATAAAGAAGGAGTACCTCAATGGTGACAGCTGTCAAGCATCAAATAATAAATGTTATTATTGCTGGGGAAAATTCCATTTTCTCCAGAAAGAATGATAGACCAATTTGCCTGTACTTTGATGACAGTATGGAGGTGCAATATATGGAAACAGTGTTACACGAGTTTCACGGGTTACGACGTGGTTTTGTCCTTGCACAAAACTGACCGTGCGTGTGCGCTGCGAAATGCGGGCGTTCGCTGTGCGGCAGAAGTCACGCGGCACTCAGCAGAGCTGGGTGTTTCTCTTGCTTCAGTCAAAACAGAGCTTTTCTGCTGTCTTCCAACAACATTCCCAGAAGGAGGGGAGGAAATCTTCTCCCCATCGATGTCAGAATAAAACTCCTTTTGAATTTAGGTCAGCCAAGACTACACGCAGGTGAACTTTATTCCTCACTGTTTTACATGATTTTTCTTTCCACCTGGGGGGGGGGGCGGGGGAACATAAAAAGAGAAAGGCTTTTTTCTTTCGAAACTGTGTTCACTGAAGGAACACAAAGTCCTCATTCTAGACAAATTCTGTTTAATAGCATTTTTCCAAAAGAAATTTCATGATGTCCTTTACTGTCTGTGAGATTGTCAGCTTCTATCAGGCAACGATTTGACAGTAGTGACTTGTAAGTAGAAACTATTTTTAGTTGATAACCACAGACCCAAAGCATGCAACGTGTGAGAAGTCCTTCCCACTATGGCTGATTCCCTTTTGCTTGGGGAACAGGTTTAAAGGAAGCAAGAAAAAGGTATTTAGTTAGTAGGGACCACTGGGATAACTGGGAGTTGGTTGGATAGTGTCGTGTGTTGATCCTGAGACATGAGCTTTGGGTTTGGCTCGTTCTCTGCACTTTGCAGTTAATTTGTGGTATTTCGCTATTCCGTTCCTTTCTCTACTAGTATCACTGAGTAGTTTCTAAAGATAAAGACACAACTTTCTACTTGCAAAAACAAAGGAAAATTGGGAAATTCTGTTTAGGATATCCTATTGAACAGTGGCCAGGTCAACTATTCTCATTTTGCATCAAACCATTGGAATTTATTACAGGCTATTTTACTGTTTGTACTCACACGTACACTGCATTCGTCTGGACAGCCAAAAAAAAGCTGGTGGCTGTAGCTATCGTAATGCAGTTGTCAGCTGAAAAGATCTGCAAGGAAGAACTCCTACTAGGGTTACAGAATGGTAACCTCAGTAACAGCGTGGTAACCGGTTTTATGTTATTAAATGTCTCACTTCGTGTAAAAGCATCGCATTTAGAAAAACATGTAGTGTAGCATGGAAGATGGTTGGTCAAAACCCACTCTTGTTATTTCGTGTCACCTTGTCTCCGAGAAAGATTTCCAAGCTAAACTCTAAATTAGTATTAAAGTATGAGCAGAAAACACAAGATACACAAGTAAATCTGGGACAGGGAACCTCAAAGGAGCCTTCTTTCTCTCTCTTTTTTTGAAGCATGTTGTAAATAAGTATCTGTACCAGAAAAAAACACATTTAGTGCACAAGTGTAAATGCTAACAGTGCTTATCTTCCCACATCTGCTACTAGTTGTGTTCTTGTTACAGTCTTTTTCTGGATGTGTTGTGTAAGGCCCTTTTCATTGGGTTTATTTTCTGGGCCTGTAATTGCTCCGTTTATTTCTAGGCTTGTGCATGGCTTTCTTCAGAATAATACACTGGCTGGCTGCTCACTGGCTTAATTTGTCATCTTCTTGTTTTCTGTCCTTTGTTATCTACAGGTCAGTTTGCAAAGTTGAGTGCAATATCCTTCTCTCTCTCCTCTCAAGTAAGTATTACTATAATTTAGAAGAATGTTTGGATTTAATCCTCATAATGTGTATTTGAGTTGCAATGCACCTTGTGCTGCCTGAGTGTGTGTGATGTTACTGTTTCTTTCTTCTTTTAACCTGTGTTAGGATGCCTAGGAATCTCTCTAAATAGTTGCTAATTTTTTGAAATGTTGTCCTAGTCCTGAGGATTCCTGTTAAGCTACTTTTTATCTTCTTTCTTTATTGACTGTGTAAGAGTGAGAACATGGGCTTTTCATCCCCGGGGATGATGACAAATATATTAGCCAGTACAGAGAAACCTTATCCAGAAGATAAGGGATCAGATTACTTTTCAGGAGACCTGAGTTCAATTCCTTAGAGTGCTTTAGTCTTCCCAGGATAACTGAAATAGATCATTTCTGGTGAGACTGGAACATCTGTGTGTGAAACAGGAGTTAGGCAAACATTAAAGCAAGCAGTCCACCAGCTGCTTAACCATAGGGGTGTCCTCAGCTGTGTTGGGGAAGTTTAAAATGCCCCAATTCAAAGTTCAAGGTACTCACTCAGCTACTATCTAGAGTCTGGCACTTCAGAGATAAGGCAAGAAGGTCTATAAATTCCCTGCTGGCCCGTATTCAGGTCATGCTCCTTACACATGCCAACCTCACAGTTGCAGCGCCGAGTTTACTGCCAAGTTCAGCAATTGTGTTTTTCTTCAGGAACACAGACAGTGGCTATTTTTATGAAGTAGCCTGTTATTCTGAACATTTGCCCAGGAAATGGGAGACCACACATTTCCTTCTTGCCTCATCTGAAGCTGCAGGCTCGGCATTTCTGACTTCCGAGGAGAGTGCAGTGCCCTGCTGTGAAAATGGCAGTGGTGTCCATCCTAGTGGCACCGAACCGTGGGGTAACAGGGCCAGAAGGGGAGGAGAAATCAAAACAGGGGTCTGACTCTGGCCTGCAAACTGAATCTCTTCCGCAAAGCCAGAACTAAAGGCAACGAAAGGTCAACTGTCGAATGGGCGCTTCAAGTTTGGGACCAGGGTCGTGTTCAGATAAGCAAAACGGGTGAACGAGCCTGAGCCCACTTCAGCATTTTTTTGCCAGATTTTGTATGCCACGTTTTATGCTAAACCTCCTTATTTATATGGCAATTTTGATGGCAAAATCTGACCCTGATTCAAGGGGTTTGCAGCTTCTGATGACGGTAGAATTCGGGTGTTCAAGTGTGGACTGTATGAAAGCGGCTGCCAGTCTTCGGTGTTAAAAACTGTTAGGTATGTCTGAAGCCTCTGTGTCAGTGTCTCTGGCAGCTAAACCAGAATAAATGGATGTGAAAAGCAAATGGACAGCAGTACCCAGAGTCCTGTAAACACCAAATAACTGCTCATAAAAATTCTCCTAACAGTGCCCCTCAGGTTCCATTCATTTTCTCAGTAGCCTGGTTAAAAACATGAGCTGCGAAGAGTTTGCTAAACATTGACAGCCAGAAAAATAAGTTTTCTTCTTCTATTTTGTTGCAGTTCTCAGTTATAGACCAGGTCGCTTGAAAAGGAAAATAGATCTTTCAACAGCAATGTATGTGTGTAGAACTGTGTAAATAGTGGAAATGTTGTACGTACCTATATATAATACAGTTATAAATAACTATGACTTTAAAGGGTAGTAGCTTTCCAGCAAACTATTTGCAATGTTAAATGGGAAAAAATCCTTTTCATTAGAATTATAAAGCTCAGGCAATCTCATTTGGGGTTTCTTTTTTTGTTAGGAAGCAGTGTTAACGTAGCAATGTGGGGAAATGCGTACTGCCGTACGGCCTGGCTTTCTAGAAAATACCTATCCTGTCTCAAATGAGCGGAGATCTGAGACTGAGCTGCTGTCTCATCTCCTGGGTGCTTTTGAAACCTTTTGAAACCCTGTCAGAAAGAAATTTTTTAAAGCATTGTGCTCTGGATAGTTCCATAGCGAAAAACTCTGGTTCCCAGGGGAGCACTTCAGCCGGTACCAAAGCCCGAAACATTCCCACCGGCTGTAAAAGCCTGGCCCTACAGAAATTAGCCACCAAAATGGGTGGACTTGGCACTTCACCCATATCCACCAGAACAAACTCTGTGTTATGGTACTTTGTGATAAACACGTCTGCACGTGATAAGCGTGGCTTGGTCTTCTCAAGGTTCGCTCTTTGTGAGTACGGAAGACTGTTGTATCTCGTGTGTTTTATTTGGACTAATGTTTCGTAGCCTTGGAAAATTAAACCCGAAGTAGATCATACCAGTGCTTTTTAAAGGGCTTTTGTGTTCTCATTGGGTTCTTGCTTGAAGTTTAGCAGCTGCATCAAGATTTTTACTTCTAAGATAATATTATTCTGTAATGATGATACAAATACAGTCAGTGTTACAGTGCCTGGATGGCCATATGAGATAAAAAGCCTCAGACTTTCTTATCTTGCAACAGCATTACATTTGTGCTTATTTAAAAAAAGGTGGGAAAACCAGGATCAGTTTATTACAGCTTCTTATGAGTGGTATTGCCACTGATGGCCAGCCACAAGTTCATTTCCTTGTTCATCAGTCACGGACAAGTGGTGTTGATGTCATTTGATTAAGGCTCTTTGCATTCTACCTGCTTTTTTAAAAGTGCTGCGTACAATTCTCTAGAATTGATTTTGAACTATTGTCTAGTGTAACAAATGCCCAAGAGACCAAGTGGTTCCAGTAATAGATAAAACATAATTTAATCAGGTTTTCAGTTTACTTTTTATATCAAGTGTACTTTAATACCACTTGTTTTATTTTTAATAGAGTAGCAGAGGGATAAATTTGAGCTTGTTTTCAGGAGGCTCTAGGCAGAGCTTGAAATTAGGTGAACGTGCAGCTTTGATGTTACTTCGCCTTTATCCCACTGATAGCAGTTGCTTTTTTGCCAAGGATGGCCAATGGGAGCAGAAGGCCCCCTGCAAGTGGTTAAAAAGTTGTCGTTTTCAATGAAGAGCTGTTGGCTTGTGCAGTGGACCTGCTCCCACGAGACCTACAGTTTTCTAAAGCAATGCTTTCTTAGTGCTGGCATACCAACATTTTAGTTGGTCATGTCTAATTTGTTTGTGTGCATTATTACAACAGAAAAGGAGGTGTGAAAAGCTGCTAAAAATCAGACCAGAAGCATCCACTTGAGAGGGAGTACAGGGAGGAGTCTTTATTAGAGGCTTCATTCTCAATTTTGTAACTGTGATCGCATTTTCTCTATGTTGACAAAAACATGTAACAATTTCGGTTGAAGACTCAGTTCCACCCCCACTCCAAACCCTTTCACTTGCTCTAAATCTTATCACACTGATTGTGGGGTCTGGGGGCTTTGGGTGGCCAGGGGTGACATCTTCCATTGCAAAAGTGACTGAGCGGTTTGTATTGAAACAGGTGGAAATTTTTTCAAACACAAAAAAAACCCACCCAAATCCCTTCAACTTTTTTACATGAATGCATTGTCAAATTATTATTATTTATTCGACATGGCTTTTTTCCCAGGACAGAAGCCTTATTGAGTAACACTTTCATCTTTTTCTTCTCTTTTCCCTTTTTCTCCAAACTCTGTTTTCGCGTTTACCAGCAGAGATTAGGAATATTGCCAAATGTCGGGTGATAAAACCCATGGGCCAAGGGAGATGGTGTGATCAGTCTGGTCTGCCCAGTGTGCCGCTGGGGGAGAAGGACTGTTCGTTAAGCTGAAGGGCACAGACGATTCTTTTAAGTGCTGTGAAGACACAACTGCCCTGCATCTCTGTTTTTTTTCTGGGAAGGAAATAAGATTTTGGAGCCAGCGTGCGTTTCACTGCCCATTGACATTTTCAGCCCTTTGCAACGTGGGATCCGTAGCCCAGGGTCCAAGTCAGGTTACTGGCCCACAGGTAGTGGAGGTGTGGGTTTCAGCTTTGCTGTCCCACTGCCACAGGTCCCATTTCCCAGCTGTGCCTTGGCCTCTCTTTGGCTGTAGGGCCCCCGACACTGCTAGTCTGAGGTGATATTTAAAGCTCGTGCACTGCAGTTCATTGCATGCCAGGAGCTCAGGAGATCACAGAGGTGCAGGTGGGCTGGTTGGTTGGACCCTCAGGAGGTCGTTTGGTCCAGTCTCCCACCAGATGCAGATCTAGCTCCCACACAAGACCATGTCAGCCATGGCTTTCTCTAGCATAGACTTCAAAACCTCCACAGATGGAAAAAATCCCCACCTCTCTGGGCACCTTCCCGCAGTGCCACCCTCCTCATGGTTTTTGTTTTTTCCTGATGTCCAGCCTGAACCTCCCAAAACATGAGTTGACCTTTTGGTGTGTTTCAGCGCTGCCGAGAAGATTTTGGCTTTGATATCCTTGTAACTACCCCTCAAAGAGCTGCTAAGTGCTCCTCCCTTGCCGCCTCTGCCCCAGCCCCAGCAAGCCCCGTTTCTCAGCCTCTTCCTCCGAAGTCAGCGATGCAGTGGTGAAGCAGCAGGATACAGGCACTAGAGGAACAGCTCACATCCATAAGTCATACTCTACTAGCACAACCAAATGATTCAGCATCTCTTTTTGGTTGTTTTTTTCTGAACAAACACGTAAAAAACAGCATTATGTGGACCCTTCCATTTGAAAATAACATCAGGCTGACAACACAGTCATTTTCAAAAATGTTGGCTACATTTGCTCAGCTATATTTTGGCTTTCCTCTTTATTTTTCTCCTTAAGGCCTCCTCTTCTTAGCATGTAGGCGTAAAAAAAGCTGTAAAAGAACTGTGATAGAGTTAGATGGGAAGAAGCAGCTTTGGTTTTGTGAGTTTAATTCTAAAATTACGCAAGTGATAGGGATGGGTTTTGAAAAATTGCTGAATGATAATAACAGAAAAGAACCTGTGGATTAAGTTACAAAAAAGGTCAAGAAGCAGTTTTATAACATGACAGATCACAGGAGTCTTAACTTGGAATTCGTTCTGGCGTTTCCAAAGTGCTGCAATGAATTTAGAGCTCTGAGGTTCATTGGTACTCATGATTTCTTGTAGGAAAATCTCTCTATCCCAATGGTGGGAAGCCTTGAGAGAATTTAGAGTAACCCTCTCCGCACTCCACCAAAGAGAAGTGGTTTATTCAGCAAATGCAAAGCAAACCCCAATACTTAGCAGTACTGTCAATGCATCTTAATGCATCGAGTGTTTCACAAGCCACTCTTACTTTGCTCCCGTGGTTCATAGTGATACCATCAAGAAATAGGAGATGTACCTGTATTTACATAACTCTGCAATGGATTTAATAAAAATCAGTCTCAGGCAGCTGAGAACTGACCTCTTCCATGCCTTTCATTTGCATTTTTTGGCTGAATCGTGAAGAGCAAGATGTTCCTTTACTAAGATTTCCAAATTAGTTTGCAGACTTTAAGCAGTACAGATGCATGTCTGATTTTTAAAAAATACTCATGTAAAATGTGCCTCAGAAATGTTTTATGAACCTCTCATTAGGTTTGCGGTGCAGGTTTCCTTTCCATTTATCAACAAAATGTTCATGCTAGGTCTTTTGTAACTGCCTGACACAGGGAGATGCTAAATTAAGATCATCATACCTTAATTGATGTTTGGGATGCTTAGGTATTAAGGAACTGGATGGAAGCGTTCGTGCTTGAATAATTAATACAATGAAACGGTGTCAGGAAGGAGAAGCACCAAGCTGAACTACCTGGCCTGTCTTCACTCATCAGCTTTAGTTTAACTCTTTTTTTTTGCTGAAGTAGTTTGCATTTCCATCTCTCATCCTGTAGACCAGCTTTGTGCCTGAAAGGAGTAGAAGAGAATTCGTGTCAGCAGGCTGTGGTCTCTGATGATCGGACGTTATTATCAGATCTCATGCAGTGCGGATTCGCTTTCTGTCTGAGGTAGCTGAAGAGAAAAAGGCTGAGCTCCCTAACTCTGAAAGGTCAAGTGTGCAAACAGTGCCTTTACCATAAGTGTGCCAACAGCAGAAGTTGGCGATATTACCTACACTGTAGATCCTGACGTAGTTAGGAGAAGAGCAGCAGTCGTTTATCAAGCATTTTCCTTTACCAACTACAACTTTTATGCCTCGGGTAGAGGAATTTAAGATACTGATGCTTTGGGATATGGAGGAGCATCAAGGAGAAGTTGGTGCCCCAGCAGAACAGGCTGTTTACGAGCTGTAACACCCAGATCCATCCTTTTAAGTAACTGCACTTCTTTTTGGACGTAGGGAATACCCCTGAGCTTGTAAATTAAGGGTGAGACATTTACACACGAGGGGGGCCCCTGATGGTGAGTGACTCAGGTAGGTGGCTGAACGCTGCGCACAAGGGAAATAATTGGTAGGTTTGCATCCTGGAAGGGTGAAATGGAAGGGAAAATGGGAACACCTGCAAGTCCGTGTCGGTGCAGACCCAGTTACCCCAGGGTCCCACAGCAGAGCAGGCAGCAGCCTTCCCACCCGTGGTGAGAAGAGTTTCCAGCTTCCCAAGTGCCTTGAAAGTGTCTGTTTACAGCTCAGATCCCTGTGGCTCACCCAGGGGGAATGGCTTTTTCACTTTACTAACTTCCTCAGGGATAACCACAGGAACGGCCAGCTCCTCCTTTTTCTTCTGTCAATAAAGCAGAGGCTTTGCCTGCTCTCCCTGTGGGGGTGCAGCACCTTAAACCAGCGCTCTTTTAAATACCTTCCCTAAACATTTCTCCACAGGCAAGCTGCAGTCAGACGGACAACGAAAGCTACGTAAGAACTGATGATGAGGAGAGCTGCTTTCGGACAGACGATGAAGAAAACTCGGCTGCCAACTTCACGGAAGAGTGGAACCAAGAGGTGCAGCGTCTCTTGACAAAAAACCCGCATAACTAAGTTCTGAGGACTGTAGCACAGTACTTTTGTTCTAAGAGTTGTAGTTTGTAGATGTGTGTTTTTGACAACAAGACTTTTGTTTAAAGCTAACTTATATTAGCTTCATCTTCTGTAACATGGCTCATCACCGGTGAAGAACCAGACTGACGTACACGTACTGCTGTCACAAAGGATGGCGGTATTAATAACTCACGTAAACCCTTTGCACATGATATTGAACCTGTTCAGTTTACAATGACGATACTGTTTATAGATAGGAATTTGATTTCTGAATACTTTGAGATTTTAGTAGATCAGTTTACTATACACTGTACATTTTTTCCACAGAAGAAGTAAAAAGCTACGATTATGCATTTAACACTGAATGATTATACTCCTGAGTGTATATATCTAGTAGCCCAAAAAACAAAGTACCAGACTATATTTGCAATTTGTTTGCAAGTCTTTAAATTAAGACTTATACAAAATGTACTAAAATAATAATAATAATAATAATATAATTAATAATATTCATTAAAAACCTCTCTAATTTAGGGCTAATGTGTAACTTAGGAATGTTTCTTTCAAAATAATCTAACAAATCAGCCATAGAAGTTAGTGTAAATATTTTTTTTCCAAATAGATATCATATACAAAAGGTGACATTCAAATGATATAGAATCTAGTTTTTAAATCAGCACAGATCTTCTTAAAACTGTGAACTATGTTTTGAAATACTCGTTGCTAAAGCTGTTTATAAACCACAGGTGCCATAAGATCCCTGAACTGACTGATGTTATGTATAATCCTCCATGGTATCGTTTCATTGATGTTTTAGCTTTAGTAAGCATGTGTTCAACAAGCCGGCTCTTTCCATCTCTCTGCCCCTCCTACTCTTCCCCCCCCCCAACCCCCAATGTTATTTTCGAGGCCTTCAGCTTTAAATGTACAGGCTTAAAGTGCGCTTGCAACTGTTTTCTTTTTCTTTCCGAATGTGTATTGCCTTAGCCAGCCACCAGATGTTCTGCATGCACTCTTGGAAATGTGTCGTGAGACTCTTTCGGAGCTGGAAGGAGAAATAGCTATCGGCGAAAAGCACAAGAAAAGCGGTGGATTTTTTTCTTTTCGAAGGGACAGGCATACAGTTACAGAATTGGAGTTTTGTCCAGTTTAGTATTTTTCGAGTATTTCAGGAGAAAGGGGACCTACCTGTCCGGTTTGGATTAGGCGGCGAGACTGCTGGCTGCAAAGCGATTGCCCTGCTGCGACTACAAACCTACGGATACTCCCGAGCAGGGCTTGACCCAAACTAGCTGTACCGTCCTCCCCGCGGCGTGTTGCTGGGAAATAAAGGTGACACCCGCGTGGCACGTGGCACTGCCGGGCAGGGACGTCAGAGCCAGGCCAGGAGCAGCGGCACCACGAGCCGGGCAGCGGCGTCAGCTCAGGGCTCGTGTCGTTTCGCTGCCCTCGTACAACGTGGCGGCTTTCGGTAGCTGGCTGAGCGGACGCGACACGTAACAGCCCTGACAACGGGAGCGTTTCATACAGGTATTTCCCACCAGCACAGTTTGCCTACAGCCAGTGGGGAGGTGCCCACCTAAAGCAGGTGAACGTGGCTGGTCTGCCCTCGCTTCCGTGGTGACGCGGATGCGCGCTGCCGTCTCTTCACGTGAGGTTGCGACGTAGCTCGACCCAGGAAGGCCGCTCGTTGGCGTGCACCCTGCGGGCTCGTGGCTGTTTCCCTGGGCGCTGCGTGCTGGGGGGTGAGTACCTGTATGAAAGAGCTGCCGCCGGTTTTCGCTTTCACGTGGCATTGTTGCGTACGCTGATCTCTCGTCCGCGTCTCCCTGCGTAGCCGGGCTCGGGCTCGGACATCCAAATGCATTCTAAGGCGTCCAGATATCTTCATGTAAGCTTTTCATTTTTGCAATCACTGGTCTTTGCTCCTGAGGTATGTGCCATCCTGGCGAGGCAGGCACCATATCCTCCAATGCCCCCCTCCTCCAACCTCCTCTCAGGAATGGGTGAGCCTCCACTAGTGCCTAGCACTCCACGTTTAAAGCTACTCCAGTGAAGCTATAGATGTTGCTGTCAGCTCAGGATTCCAGGCAAGCATTTCCTGAACAGAGATAAAACAAGCTAGAACACAGCTACGTGCAGTGGCTGACTAATTCAACCCGTGTCACGTTTAACTGTACCCAGAGTAGTAGATCCCTCCCATCATCTTAGTGTCCGCGTGCTCATTATCACTGTGCTTAAAATAGGTGCAATAGAATAAATCCAGGGCAAGGGCTTCTGGACTAGGAGGAAGGAAAAAAGTTGACGGCTCAAGCGCCTTTCTCTCAGGCTGGTGTCAACAAGGTGATCCCCGGCAGAGCTCTGGGTCCCTTGCGCCCTGGAGCTCTGAGATGAAGCACCTCTTACTTGGCTCTCCAAATATCTATTTTAAGCAATTTCCAACTGTTAAGCTGGCTGTGGTTTCGCCCAGCTGGTCTTTGTGTGCTTGTTGAATATTATTTTGGTTGTGGTTTGCGGTCATTAAGACAGAGTTACAGAAGAGGTCCCTGGCACGGGCCTTTCTTGACTACCAATGGCCCACCACAGCAGTCAAAACTCCGGGTGGTTTTACTGTCACTGGAGGGAAAACAGTGGTTTGGAATCAGGAGACAGGGATGTGAAGATGTATAGGGTCCTTGAATGTCCAAAGCGAAGGTGGAGAATGGGTTGTCTGTAAGTAGTAATGTTAACTAAACTGCATAAAAAGGTGTGTGGCCTTTGTTGTGATATAATATGTATTTTCTTATATGCATGAGCCAAATTGTTGCATCATAATTTATCATAAGCGTGTCTGCCTTTACTTTCAGTCATCTTCTCCCATCCTTATTGGTTCTTGGCAATTACTGTAGATAGACCTTGTAAATATTGCAACCTCGGGTTGCTGTAATCGCGTTGGTTCAACTCAGCAGACGGAGCTGTGAACAGCAAGCACTCCACTGTGTCCTGAAGACAAAAGGGCATTTTTACCTTTGAACCAAAAAAAAAAAACCAGAGTATGAAGAGTTACATCTTGAGGCTACTAACTGTAAGACGTTTTTAAAACTACTGTACTTGACACCACTTGAGACAGATACAGAGACACTAAAGATGTCACGATATTCATTGGTATTGTAACAGAACTGCTATCGTATGGGTTTTTTTGTATTGCTGTTAAGTATTGTTTTGTGTGTGTGTGTGTGTTGGAACCTGCTGGGGACATGTTATATTTTGAAGTGATTAAACTATTTAATTGTGTGTCTATATTTTGGAATGGAATTATTTCTTCATTAAAAAGATTTTTAAAAGTAATTTATGGAGCATCATGTTTGTGGCTTATTTTGGTTTTGGAAATCCTGTTCCGTGGAGCCCAAGCAGTGGGTTTTTAGTAGGGAAGAAAAACGTGTCCCCGTGGCACAGCAAGCAGTCTTTGCTTCACCCACGCTGTCTGCTCCAGCTCTGTGTGAGAGGACTCCTTCCACCGCTTTCCCCCGCGCTTTGAGCGTGGTACTGAGCAGCGCCTGCTTTCGGTGGCCCAAGCAGTTTCTTCCTTTCATAATTCTCTGTATTTTTAGCACTTTTCACAACCTGAAAATGCCATTCCCCTGTCTGTAAAACATCCCCCTGCTTCCACTTAACAGCAATGAAAATCGCCGTAAGCAGATTGACAAGGTGCCTGGTGCAGCCCTGTGAGGGGACCCTGGGCCTCAAAAGCCTAAACTGTCTGCAATAATGTCATTTTTGTGTTTCTCTCTCTCTCTCTTTCCTTAGAAGGAGCAAAACCTTGGAAGAATCATAGAATCACAGAGTGGTTTGGGTTGGAAGGGACCTCAAAGCTCACCCAGTTCCAACCCCCCTGCCATGGGCAGGGACACCTCCCACCAGACCAGGTTGCTCAAGGCTCTGTCCAACCTGGCCTTGAGCACTGCCAGGGAGGGAGCACCCACAGCGTCTCTGGGCAGCCTGTTCAAGAGGAGCATTGTAATGGCTTTACCATACCCAGCCACACGTTACCTTTTATTGCAGCAGGACATGAAGTCTTTGTTTTTCCAATTACACATTTAAGGTGTCTTTCCGTATCAGCTGGTGGCAGTTACAACGTGTTGCCCACCTGAAAGAGCACAGAGATGCACAGGAGGAGCTCTTCAAGCCACAAGTCTGTGTCCCGATGAAATACCTCCAAGCATGGAGAAGACACTCGGGAGGCGATGCCCAGCCGTGCTTTTTGCGCCCGTGGTGCTGGTGGTCCTCTGCAGGGCGGCTGGGGGAGGGTGTGCTGCTGCCCTTCTCCCCAGATGGACTGCACCCTGGCAGCTCAGCACAGCCAAAACGTCCCCAGCTCGCCCCAGGATGCTGCTAACTGGCCAGTTAATTGCACTGGGGTGGGGGCTGTTAGAGGAAAGCAGTAACAGCACACCAAAAATATCCTCCATCTACTTATCACATATCCCAGTGTCTTGGGAACCAGATAAACCCCCGTCCGCTGCTTCCTCCTCCAACGCTGACTGCTGTGGTAACCTATAAATCACCAGGGTTTACTTGCCCTAATTCCCCTGTCTACGTGGTGACGTTCTTCAATAAAGATGATCATTTTACGTTGTAAATTATTTGGTAGGTCTGCTGAACTTTGCCTCCACAATCCCAGTCCAAATTCATATCCGCGGGATTCTAATATATGGTGAAATATCATCAGCACATGAGGATAACTCCGTTTTATCCATGCATAATCCCAAATTGCTGTGTTTCTTCCTAACCCACAATCAGCCTATGGCCTTTGGGGAACAAAGGAGCCAGTGAAAACTAATTTATAGGCAAAGGCTCTTTGCCTCTTGGTTACTCTAGCTACTTTCTGCTCCCTACAAGGACTCATAGAGGAAGCAATAAATTAGTTTCATTTGCAAAAGAAAAAAAAATAGAAATACTGACATAAAAATAAAAATATACAAACAAAAATATACAAATAATAAGAGTTTTTTTTAAAAATACAATAAAATAATAAAATTAATGGTCTTTAGATCTGGGAAGCTGGCACCTTGGCTGCATCAGCGCTGAACTAGGTGACTGAAAGCTGCTGAAACTTTCTAAAAGTATCCGGGAGTTTCGTTCAGCAGAACATGGATCTATGGCTGCTCTTCCAAAGTTTGCTTGGGAGGCCCGTTGCTCAGCAGTAGCGTATTCCCTCGCAAGCAACCCTTAGATCCGGGTGAAACCTTTTCAGAGACTATCGCAGGAATATGAAGCTGAGTCTGTCACAGAAGTAGGTTAAGTGGGGTGAGAAGAGAAATCTCTTCTATGGTTCCACGATGTAAAAATGCATTGAAGAATTTCATATGCTTCAGGATCATCCTGTCTAATACCCCAGATAATCCACAGATTAAGGATTCCCCTTTGCTTTCTCCTGAGGAGTGATTGCCACTGGTTGAGTTGTCCGTGGTCTGTCTATCCCAAGCTGCCAGCACAGCGCCAACGTGCCTTCGGCTGCGAAAGGCAGAGCAGCAGACTTGAGCTGCGCCTCTCACTGGCTTCCCCTTCGCCCAAGAGAAGTACAAGCCAATGATGAACAGGTCCCAGGCTGGAATAAGCCTTTCTGAGAGCCCACAAGTCTGGAGCTTTCTAGAAAAAGCTGTTTGGGGGCAGCGACCTCCCAGGACAAAGGTGGGGGATGTGCGCAGGGGAATTGTGCAGCCACCTCATGCAAACTTTGAGATAAGATGGCTACAGCAACTTGGAGATAATAAAGACTACAAAGACAGGCAGTGTGAAAGAGTAGCTGCTTTTCTGTGTCTTGGAAGGAAATGGAGGAGGCCACGGTACAGTTTCCCATTGGTATTCGACGTTGCAGAATGCAGTTTTCTGTTTA